TGACCCAGTCTCAGAATTCTAACTTACTCCTCTCCTTTCTCATTGCCCTGTCACAAAATGTTACTACCTAAGTGTAGGAGCTAGTTAAGAAATTTATGAAAGCTTGATCTCTGCTATTCAGATCCACAGAAGACCATTCAAGAGAGAAATAATGTTAAACTACAAGTTTGGGCCTAGGATGTTAATTTTGTCCCTTCCCTGAATCATTATAGAGTTGGTGTACTTCTCCATACCATTCTCACTCCTACAAAAAGAGACAGCTCCAATGTGTCCCCTTCTGTATTTTCAGGAAGTCAAAAAGTTTCCTCAAAGTCTGGAATAGGGATAGTGATCTTCAAGTTTCATTGTACATGAGAATCATCTAGGGGAGACTGTTAAAAATTAGATTGTTAGGTCTAGTCTCCTGAGATTGATTGATTAGGACTGGGATGGGGCCCAGCAAGTTGTCTTATAAATCAGTGTCACAGGTGATGTATGCAGGAGGTCCATGGATCACAAGTTAGAAATACTAATCTGAAGAACAGAGTGTTCTCTTAGAGTTTCAGGGGTTGTCAATTTCCTAGAAATAGGAATAGGCCCTTCAGTATCTTAGGGGAACTCAGCATCTCCTATATTGGCACCAACTCTTGTTTTCCAGACCATAACTATAGTAGGTATAGGTGGTTGGGCCATAGTGCTAGTGACTCCTTGATAACTCCTAAAGGTGCTTTGATGAATCCCTATTATCATTTTATTTTGCATTTGCCTCATGTGTAAAAATGTCAGGGGAGAAGATGTTTTGGGGAAGAGAACTTCTGAGTGACTTAGATTCCAGACTTTTGGTTGGTTAGTATAGGTCGGTGGTTCTCAACTCTGGCTGCACACTAGGCTTACTGATAGCTGGGCCTCATTTCAGGATAATAAAATCTGAATCAAAAAAAGCAGGGGTTGAAATTATAGTAGCAGATACAATGGCTTTAAACCAACAAAGATAAAGAAAGATAAGGAAGGTCACTACATATTTGTCAAGGGAAACAC